TCAGTACTTTCAACCTACAAATCACATCATACCTTAAAAATAACAAAATGAGCTTACGATAGAATTAAATCCACCTCCTTCTCCTGACTAATAACACTACTCTTGCCGCTGGTTTTTATAGACAGCTCTAATGAAAACACTTAATTAAAAAAATTACATAAATCACTTAATTCATTAAATAATTAATTTAGTTCATTGTGTGTTAAGAGTTTGATTATACTTAAATAAAACACATAACACAAGCACTAATATTTAATAGTATTTAAGTGTTTATTATTTATTTAAAAAAATGGTATTTCTAAAAAAATATTTCCATTTGTTTTGTAAGTTTGGTCTGAGTTCTTGATGCTTTTACAACGTTTTCACCAGCAGGTGTCGCCAGCATGTGCTGTTTCAAGTGCTTCGAAACGTCGAATCATTTTTTGAAGCAATTGGTTCAATTGATTCAATGCTTCGTTTCTCCCATCACTACTGTATACGCACTGCAGATGGAGTACGTGTGAACTTGGCGCAACAAATCTATTTCAACATCTGAGGTAACGCCACAAAGAGCTCTATGACCAATGCATGGCAAAAAAATTCCTGGACACTTTTTTTTTTCTTTTTCTGCCATATGTCTATTCTAGAGACATTTTGTTGCACCTTTACTTAGTGATTATTTTGTCTGTTCTCTGTTCTAGAGACATGTTACAGCTTTTTGATAAAGCTCTAATTGGCTTTCTTTTGGAAGCAAATTCACAAAATTGCAAAATTGATCAAAGAAATCGCGATAGGTTTTTTTTTTTTTTGCCCATATCGCACAGCCCTAGTTTTTACTTTTCGAATAATAATTACAGATCGAATATTCGACTATTTGAGCACACCCGGAGGTCACACCATCTATAATCCATCCAGATCAAACCGGTTTCATTAAAGGTAGACTTGAATCCACCAATACACGCATACTTTTCAACTTAATGTATCATTCTTCAATTCAAAAAGCAAAAACCACCATAGTTACTCTGGACAAAGAAAAAGCTTTTGATAGTGTCAACTGGAAATTCCTGTTTTCCAGATTAGAGAGGTTTGGTTTTGGGGAGTCATTCATTAACTCGATCAAAATTCTGTATTCATCACCTTCAGCCACTGTCCTCACCAATGGACTAACATCACGTAGCTTCACACTGCACCGGGGGACTAGACAAGGATCCCACTCTACCCCTCACTAGTCACCATTTCTACTGAACCATTAGAAGCAGCCATCCATCAAAACAGCTACATTAAAGTTCAAACATTAAACATACACCAAAAAAATCAGTCTTTACACAGATGACTTACTACTGTATCTACAAGACCCCCCATCATCATTACAAGAAATAATTACTTATTGATTCATTCTCTAATATTTCTGAATATCAACTGGAGTAAATCTTCTATTCTTCAATTACATCCCAACAGCTTGGATGTGACATCCCAGACACCACCTATCCCTCTATGCACCAATCACATCACAAATTTAGGCATTAATGTTCCCCCCAGGCTGTCAGAGTGTCAGTGCTCTGCATTTACCCATCCAAAGTGCACACACACAGCAGTGAACACACACCCGGAGCAGTGGGCAGCCATTTATGCTGCGGCGCCCGGGGAGCAGTTGGGGGTTCGGTGCCTTGCTCAAGGGCACCTCAGTCGTGGTATTGAAGGTGGAAGAGAGCGCTGTACATTCACTCCCCCCACCCACAATCCCTGCCGGTATGAGACTCGAACCCACAACCTTTGGGTTATGAGTCCGACTCTCTAACCATTAGGCCACGACTTCCCCCATTCCCCCATTCCCCAGAGCCGTTTAGTCTTAATTTCACTCCATTATTTAAAATAATAGATGACGATCTTCAACGCTGGATGAACTTGCCACTATCCATTAATGGCAGAATATCAGTAATTAAAATGACTATACTCCCTAAACTAAACTATTTATTCTCAATGATTCCAACACAACCCACCCTTACCTGCTTTAAATCTTTAGACCCAAACATTACCAAATTTTACTGGAAAAATAAGACCCCAAGAATTAAATGAACTACTTTACAGAAACCAAAAACACAAGCACCACATTTCTTCTACTAATTTATGGCCAACCAGCTTCATAATATATACAAATGGATTCATCCAAACCCATCAGAAAACATATGGCTAGATGTTGAGCAAACAATTTGTAATGATTTTCGCATTTCAGACTTACCATTCTACAGTCAGACAATCAAAAAACACCCATTTTAAAACACCAATGACCGCTACAGCTCTGACAGCCTGGTGGAAATTTCACCAAATCACAACACCCCTCTTGCACCATCTAAATACACCCCCATTTGGAATAACCCAGATTTCACAGTTAACAAGAAGCCGCTTAACTTACACACATGGGCAGAAAAGGACATCACACAACTCCAACACATATTTCATAGTAATATGCTGGCCACAATTTCCTACTTGGTCCAGAAACACAGCATCGGGAGTAATATTTTTTTTTGGGATACCTAAATATCAAATCATCTATCCAATCAAAAATCAACACTCGGACCATTAACCTAGACCAGGGGTAGGCAAGTTCGGTCCTAGAGAGCCGCAGTCCTGCAGAGTTCAGCTCCAACCCTGAAAACAAAACTCACCTGCCTATAGCCTTAGTAATCCTGAAGACATTGATTAGCTTGTTCAGGTGTGTTTGATTACGGTTGGAGCGGCTCTCTAAGACCCAACTTGCCTACCACTGGACTAGGCAATGGAACAATGCATTAAAGTAAATATGACTGTAAAATTAGTGTCATGGGGATGTTATGATTTCAATGACCGCTACTGAAGACACTATATAATCCTGTGAACCATTTATATGAAAGGGATTCAGAGCAGGAGAGCATTTGGATTAGTAAGAGTGAAAAGAGGGACAAGTAGCCTACAGTACAGCCTAGCGCATTTCACACAGGCTGCTAGATTCACTTTGGCCAGAAAGTCGTGTATGCCTAAGGTTGAAGTGAATGCCCCTATAAATGGTCTTATTTTTACAATTAAGTTTTAATCCAAATGATGAGTGTGCTAAGTGAGTGAACATCAAAGATCACACAACAGAAGTGCGCGCTCTCTCTCTCTCTCTCTCTCTCTCCCTACCGTTAAGTAACTTGTGCATTGTTTTACTTACTTGTTTTTGACATATCCGACCGAACTACAAACTTTCCAGTGATGTCTGTGAGAAAGATATATTCACTCGACAAGCTCGCGCATCTGCGCCGCCGCGCGCTCAATCCACTCAGCGTGCTTTGTTTATCAGCTCGCGCACATCAGCTATACAGGCATTAATACTGAATGTTTAACATTATATTCATTGCATACATATACTTCGTAGTAGACATCCTTAACTTCTTTCTGCTGTCTGTTGTTCTGTTGTCGGTGTTTCTTTGTTTGAATATGGCGCTTAACACATGCTGTGTGGTATCAGCGTTTGGTATCAGGGCATTTTAACAAGTACGAGTACGAGTACAGGAGACCAGTATCGGTATCGGTGCATCCCTAATTATACTGATTATCAAATTTACATCACGTGCACTGTACACATACCCTAGCATTGTGTTCATGCTACTGCCCACTATAAAAGAAAAACCAGCATGGAATATGCCAACATTAGATATTCATGTTATTAATGAAAGTTAATCCAGTGGATGTGCTGACTGATGCGTGATGCATGGACAGGTTTCATCATCACACGTGGAGTGTGCCAGTGCAGGACACTGCGGTGAATCCAACAACAGAAACACATAGCGGATCACGGAGCAAGCATGTCTCAAGCTATTATGGACATACTTTTGTTGTCATAAGGTCATATTTTTAAACTGAAAGTGAAAAACATTTTCACTTTTTAGAGTGAAATGCCCCCAACTCCCTTGTCTCCAATGAGATTTTTATGTTCAGTCATCTCTGTTGTGAGTGTCATCTACACACCCAGATTCTGAGCCTTTTTCAAATTTCAAAAAACAACATACCAAAAACTAACAATCAGATCTAACAATTCTCATAACAGAAGCTGCCTCAGTTTCCCAACAACAGAAAATACTTCTTATAATGTCTTGAGTAGAAAACTAGTCATACATCTGGAAATATCTAAAGTTTAAAGCACTGGAGTGTTTTTTTTTCTCTCCACAAAATATATATTATAAATTTCAAGTGAAATGTTATATCATGGAGAGACAATATAAGAGCCAAATCGTGTGTCTGATGGACAGACTTGAGGTGTGTAGGGTAAACACTGTAACTGTTCCTCACCAAGCAGGATGCTGAAGCCCATCTTACACAGAACTGCTGTGGACAAGAACCACTCTGACACCAGCACTGAATGAGGGCCGCCTGACAGACACACAGAGTGAAAACAGAGATCAGCAAAACAAGATACTGACGCCGAATGTATCCGTTATATCATTTTTACTTTGTTATTAAGGATACTACAGAACAGACCGTGTGGCATGACAATGAGAGGTAGTTTGCTTCCTGCTGTCATTTCCTTTGGTTTCAGTAGAATAGCATTAAAGTCCAAACCAGCTGATGAAGCACAGAGAGTTGTTATATTTTTCATGCAAAATGACAGAACTAACACATACAAACACAACAGTTCCAGTACCGTGAATTTGACCACATGTACAGCATCCCAAGAGTGCTGCTATTTAGTCTAACAGCACTAGGTGGTTTGTTGGAACTACTGTTCAACTATTTGGAAGCATTTAAGTTTGGCAGAACAAAAGTAACTTGCAACACTGCATCCGAAATGCAATAACACAATCATGTTGGAGTAAATATCAGCACATACTGTATAAGCACTGTCACTCAGATCTTACGGTATTGGCTGTTGTCCTCCTCAGGTGGTGGGCTGAAGTTTAAAGTCTGCCAGCTGATATCCTCCTGAGGTTGAGTCTCCTCCAATTTGACCCATGACATCTTGCTTTCAGAACCCTTCTCTGGCAGGAAACCAACCCGCTGCAGAGCAGATCATCTAATTAGATGTACCTTAATATAATAACTGACAATAAAACTGTAAAAATGTAACAAGCAGAACTAGAAATACAGACACAATTGGGAACAAAAGACTGACTGATAAGAAGGCTTCTTTTTTTCCAAACGCTCACACATAAAGGCTGGAATACGCTACACTATTTTTGTCCCAATTTTACAGTCTGGAGAATTTGACGATTGTTGCCCAAATTCTGAGCCAGTCTGCAGATTTGAGTTGACATTTCTTAGAAAATCGTGTAGCAGGGTTATGACAGACTGCTCAGCTTTATTAAGCTGCTGTCCCTTTAAGACCGACTGCATGGATCCAATATACTGATACACAACGGTTTTCTTTCTCAACATTCACTTAAGACAAAACCAACTGTGTTTATGAGGATACTCGCCAGGATGGACATTTTGACAAATTAAGCGCAATAAGCTGTGAAAAATAACTCAATTTGGTACTCGTGAGGTGTTTGTGAGGCAGCTTTATGTGCGCGTACGCTTTGGATGAGACTGTGAGCGCACAGAAAACCATCTCTGGAGTACTGAATGCTTTAAAAAGATTTTAAAAAGATGTGCAAATGGTACAGTTTTGTGACGATGCAACAGTGACCCGATTATGCGCGTGACAATTCTGTCAACTGTGCCCAAACGCGAGCGTAAATCTCGTATCGCAGCGTGCAGCGGCTCTCTTGTAGTGCAGGCGAGATGCGCTGATGTGAAGCCGTTTTGAGAGGAAGAAAGAGAAGACGCGGTACCGCTGAATCACTTGTGTTTTCATATGACTGATCCGATCCGATATTCTGTGTGGATTTATTTACATTAACTTGCATGCTATATTAAAGGGATAGTTCACCCCAAAATGAAAATTTGACGTTTATCTGCTTACCCCCAGGGCATCCATAGGACATCAATGTGTCGTCACGAGCCGCAGGGTTTAATTTGGATTTGTCTGTGCATGTATTTTTTTACTCTCATAGATTATGTTACCATTGCCATGCATTATACGACTGATAGACTGCAACGGCTGGACTTAAAAATAATAATTTGTGTTCTACTGAAGAAACAAAGTCACCTACATCTTGGATGCCCTGGGGGTAAGCAGATAAACATCAAATTTTCATTTTGGGGTGAACTATCCCTTTAAATGTTTGTGGAAATCTCCCACATTATAAATGCGAAACCTGCGGGAATGAGTAAAACTATGCGATATATGCGTGATCCCCTCACTGACCTGATTAAAAATATATTCTATTGCACAGAGATTTGTGAAATACATTTCCATGACTTTTCCAAAGCTTTCTGGGTTTATCCAAAACTTTTCCAGGCCTGGAAATTTAAGTTTTAAAATTCCATGACTTTTCCAAGCTTTTCATGATGGTCATAGACTCTGATTTTTTTTAGCTTCAGACTTTGATTCCATCCAGTCGGAGGAGATCAAGCATGTTTGATATTTTGAGCCGATTTTAGAACACATGTTTTCATTTGTCATGCGTCTCCTAGCAACAAGGCACACGTTTCAGCATGAGTTTGTTGTGATTGGAACGACTTTAAAGTCTGGTTGTGTGTGATCCTCAGTTGTTTAGTGTATGATGGCCAGTTTTTCCTCTGTGACTATTACAAAGTCGGTAAGTGTATGATGGCCAGTGTTTTAAAAGCCGTTTAGATTTTAAAAGTTGTGTAGTGTATTATTCCTGCTCTCTGAAAACTGCTCTTTGTGTGAAAGCTCAATGAAGAGAGCAGCCATATGAGACTATGTGAGGCATTAGTGCTCAAATACACATTCTTGGCAAAATGATCGTCTTGACAATAAATTATTGTAAAACAATCAGTTCATGTCAAAGGTATGAAAAAATAAGTATGTGGGTCAGTTCTTATATGTGACCCTGGAGCACAAAAGCAGTCTTAAGTCGCTGGGGTATATTTGCAGCAATAGCCAACAATACATTGTATGGGTCAAAATTATAGATTTTTCTTTAAAAAATAAAAAAAGTTAAGATCATGTTGCATGAAGATATTTAGTAAATTTCCTACTGTAAATATATCAAAACTTAATTTTTGATTAGTAATATGCATTGCTAAGAACTTAATTTGGACAACTTTAAAGATGATTTTCTCAATATTTAGATTTTTTAACAAACCATACATCAGTGGAAAGCTTATTTATTCAGCTTTGATGATGTATAAATCTCAATTTCGTAAAATTGACCCTTATGACTGGTTTTGTGTTCCAGGGTCACATATAGTGTACATACAGCCCAACAGACCCATCACTGTCTATTATGTCATTAATAATTATCAAACAGCAACAATAGAAAAAATAATAAAAAAATAGAAAAGAGAAAAACGCTCACTACTCATGGCTGGACATCTTGACAAGCAGATAGCACTCTTGGCTCTATTGCACAAAATGTTTCTTTGTTCTTCATTTTACTATTAACCGTTATCTTTTTGCATGATTTTTTTTAAACAAACCAGTTGCGGAAAAACTGTTAATTTTTCCTTTTTATTACTGTGAAGCTGCTTTGACATATAAATACATAAATATTAGGAATGTAACGGTACACAAACATGACGGTTCAGTACGTACCTCGGTTTTGACGTTACAGTTCGGTACAATTTCGGTACAGCGGGAAAAACTAAACAATTTATTTATTTATTTTTGTTAATTAAACAATGGTTTACTGAACAAATTGCTCTTTCTTTAAATAAATTCAGTTATAATTCAAATTTTCTTAGGGATAAAAATCTACCTCGGATTATACTCTAAACTATAGTGAGCCCTTTTACATTAGGCCTACTTTAAGGTTACAGTTAACAACAGAGCCCAAATTTAAATTTAATTACTATTTATTTTTAAATACAATAATCAACACTCAACTTAAAAAAAATGTATGCAAACATGTAAATTGTACATAATGTAGTTTTTAAATTAACTTCTAAATTATAAAAATTATGTTTGTTGTTGAAATATGATCATTTACACCAGGGCTGCCCAAACTCGGTCCTGGAGGGCCGGTGTCCTGCAGAGTTTAGCTCCAACTTGCCTCAACACACCTGACTGGTAAGTTTCTAGTATGCCTATAAGAGCTTGATTAGCTGGTTCAGGTGTGTTTTAGGGATGCTCCGATCCACCTTTTTCACCTCCGATACCGATTCCGATACCTAGGGTTCAGTATTGGCCGATACCGATACCGATACCGACCACAAAGGGAAGAGAAATTGATGCGTAGTGTATTATATCTGTGCAACAGTTATTGAGCCTTTCTTTTAACAGTTTGAAATTTCAGTAACGGTGCGCGTTAAAAATTATTTAAAGTCTTTTCTACGACCGTGTTTTGTTCTCACAGACACCCGGTAGCAAGTAACAAAACAACATTAAACTCCGGCAAGAAGATAAAGGATATTCTCCAAAATGGTGCTACGGTGATGCGGAATTCACACGACGAATTGTTGAATAAAGTCGTTTTTTTTGTTTTCTTCGTGTACAAAAAGCATTCTCGTCGCTTCATAACGTTACGGTTGAACCACTGATGGCAGATGGACTATTCTGACGATGTCTTTCATACTTTTCTGGACCTTGACAGTGCAAGTCAATGGGACAGTCACAAGCCTCCCGGTTTTCATCCAAAATATCTTAAATTGTGTTCCGAAGACGAACGAAGCTTTTACGGGTTTGAAACGACATGGGGGTAAGTGATTAATGACAAAATTTTGCATTTTGAGGTGGAGTAACCCTTTAAGCTATGCTATGGCTTCAGAGCAGAGGTAACACAATACGCACAATCTCGGATTTGGATCGGCTCTCTCTGACCGATACCCGATCCGACAAAAATGGCAGTATTGGAGCCGATACCCGATATGAATATCGGATCGGCGCATCCCTAGTGTGTTTAATTGGGGTTGGAGCTAAACTCTTCAGGACACCGGCCCTCCAGGACCAAGTTTGGGCAGCCCTGATTTACACAGTGCCTCTCATACCTAATTTCATAACAGATTAATTTAAACATTAATTAAGACATCACTAACAGGTAAAGTAAAATGTAATGAGTATATAGTCTAATATTTTGTGAAATGCACTTCTCTAGACTTCATTTATCGCGCACTAACGAGCTGTGGACACTGATGACTTCCTGAGGTAAATGAAACTCTACGTGACGTTTTGTTTACAAGCTGTTTTATTGCCGTCTTTCCGCGGTTGAAACACTGATTGAGTGATTACATGAGGCGCGAGATGTTCATTCATGTTTATTTTGTGTTATAACTAGTAGTAAAGAGGAAGAGATACCGTTTGAACTGAGGCGTTTATACGGCGATCTGTCGTGCCACATCAAAGACCTGAGACTTTGTTTCTTATCAAAAGTAACAACATATAAAACTGGAAGTTACCAATTAAGTTCCACTCGTGCAGTACTTAAAAAAATGCTGTATTTGTTTGTACACATTCGTACCGAACAGAAAGACCTGTACCGAAAAATTTTGGTACGAATACGTGTACTGTTACACCCCTAATAAATATATATATAAAAGTGACTTTTATACACAGTGTCACACAGTGGCGGTGTTGCAACAATATATAGTGATATTCTCAATGTTCGTCTGGTCAGAGGAGAACTGGCCCCCCGACTGAGCCTGGTTTCTCCCAAGGTTTTTTCTCCATTCTGTCACCGATGGAGTTTTGGTTCCTTGCCGCTGTCGCCTCTGGCTTGCTTAGTTGGGGACACTTCATTTCCAGCGATACCGTTGACTTGATTGCAAAGATACTATTTAAACTGAGCTGGATGTTGACATCACTGAATTCAATGATGAACTGTCTTTAACTGAAAAATTTGTGTTTACTATTGTCATTTTGCATTATTGACACTATTTTCCTAATTAATGCTGTTCAGTTGCTTTGACACAATCTGTATTGTTAAAAGCGCTATATAAATAAAGGTGACTTGACTTGACTTGACTTGACTGTAGTGTTGGCTATACTATACTAAGGTTAAGTACAAAGTATTGCAGGCTTTCTCTACATCTTTATCACTAAAATTATAAAAACAAAACAACAAATGTTTACTTTCACGAGTCGTCACATATTTGCGCGCTTGCAGTGGGAATTTTAAAGCTAAATGCTTGAGTAATGGAAATTAACTTTGACAATTGAGGAAGATGTAGTAGAACACAAGGACGCAAGATCGCAAGAACACATACTGAGATACAGCCTAGCAATCCTGACGACGTTAAGCTGGATAAGCTGGATCAGGTGTGTTTAATGAGGACTGGAGCCAACGCTGCAGGACAGTGGACCTTCAGGAGCAGAGCCAGACATCCCTGGGTTAAGGGTTAGTATTTGTTTTAGCATTGTGTAGGGTTGGCGTTGGTTTTGGGAACAAAAACAACTATCAAAATGTCCTTTTGAAGCAATGTTTACTTAAAAACCTTTTTAAAAAAGTAGGTCTACATGCTATTAAATCCATTAATTATATTTATATACTTTATGTAATTAATATTTAACTTCAAATAGTTACATAAAATACTTGAAAACAGTGTTTCCCATACATTGACTTATTTGTGGCGGCCCACCACAATATCAACACTGACTGCCACAAATAGATTTTCCAAAATGCTTTGACTTCGTTGAATAAACATGAGCACTGCACGTTTCAAATTTTTCAAAATGCAGTCGGGTGTTTTTATATAAATTTATCTTTTTTGAAGGGAACCGATTGTCTTCAGAAAAGTTTTGATGTCATTTTCATTTAATCTTTCCTATAATGCCTGATAAAGCAGCGTTTATGAGCGCAGTGCTGCTTTGATTACAGTCATTACCGGGGAAACGCTATTTCTGCCGCTCCTAAAGCGCCTCCTGCTGGCAGAGAATGAATTTACACTTTCAATATATATTTCTCCCCGGGGAAGTGCCGCCACACATAGAGTGTAAGTCTGTGGGAAACACTGGAATAGGTAAAATAAGTGTGTTCAATAGCAAATTTGCTGTGGTATGGAAACTGATTTTGAGAATGTGTGTGAGAATACCAGGTCTGGAGGGCAGTTTGGTGAAGAGCAGCTGACCACCATCAGATCTCTGTGAATATTCAGCAAATTCCAGCTTCCCTCCTCTGATTCTAGAGCAGCACAGAGCACAGACAGATTACAGACATACAGTACAGTACAGTAGTGTGTTATATAAGAAGAGGAAGAGAGTGCGCTCTACATACGGGAGGTGAGAGACGTGACTTCACCAGTTGAAGTATCAACAACCAACAAATCCTGTAATATTGGAACGACAGAAACTGATTGACTGACAAAGTCATTTCAGATACAGATAAAGAGACACTCACATCCCAAAATAGATCAAATGAACAAATATGAAACAGAAGGAGACCTCCCCCTTCGATGACTCCTGCAGAGGGGATTTTTTCATTGAGAGGGGTGTTGCATACTGGACTTATTTTTAAATGTCAAGGAAAAATCAATGATCTCACCTAAACTTTCCTCATTTCAATGACTGAACATGGTCTAGTGCTTTTTACAATAACTATTTTAAGTAGTTTTACAAAGAACCTTATAAAAATCCTAATTTGTCGGAACCTGATTCGTTTTTAGGATTCATGATTTAGGATTCAGGATTATGTGAATTAATTATTACTGCAGACATGAACTGTAATGTTTACTTTTTCGGGCAGGATAAGCAATATATTGCAATTGTGAATCTTGCTGTAGGCTACCACACTACCAACAGAGGTAACTGACCAAACAAAATATATTTCTGTATGTAATTATGCAGTAAAATATTACATGTGATATGGGATAATTAGAAGAAACCGTAAAATGCAGTATAAATGCTTAATAATAATAGGCTATTTCACGTCTTCAAGTCCAGTCATGATTTGTAGCGCACCTGCCACCCAATAATCACAATCAATTTTGTGCTTTGTTGCTTTTAAGAAGTCTCAGCTTCCAAATTATGTATATTTTGTATAATTTTATTACAAAATACAAACTATAAATGTGGTTTTGACAGTCTTTAATGTGTTTGCTTTTGCACCTCAGCTCAAGCAGCATGTGAACTGATCATCTCTTCCTCTTTGCTACTAGTTAAAGCAAAAAAATAAATAAAATAAACATGAATGAAGGGAAGAGAACTTTGATAAATGTTCAATATATTGTTCAATGTATTAAATGTGTTCAATATATTTTACTTAACCTGCCGTCTTCATGTTTTAATGTGTGTTTGAATAAATGTAATTTCACTTCACTTGATTTTATAGGCATTGTGCCATGTGTTACTATGAGAAGACTTTATTATTTTGGCATTTAAATGCATGTGGAAATGTATATGTGCAAGTATATATTACATGCTCAGCTGTGTGTCCATGGAAACCGAGATTATGAATGCAGCTGTAGTATGAGAGAGGTGTTACAGTACCTTACGGCATCTCTGAGCACAGGACATAAGTACACGCTGACTGTCAGCTGACCAGCAGCGGGGAGAAAGCATTGAGCTGTAGATCCCAGTAAAACCATCTGACACACACACACACACACACACAGAGTTGACAAACACAGAAATAGATTAAACAGGTCAGAGATCTTCATCTGAATAACACGTTTTCTGAACTCTTTCTGAGCTTTTATCATTTCTTTACCAACCAATAAATAAAAAAAATAGTATGACTACATACACATACCCTCTCTGGCTCTCTGCACCACATCAACCACAACACTTGTCTGCTTGGTGTACCAGTCATACTGCAACCAAACCACAGCAATACACAGTCACTTGATTAAAGTTACCTACATTTGATCACTTAGACTATAAATACCACCTGCACCTCCAACTGAAGCTGCTTCTGAATCGGTCACTTGTTCACTCATTTACTATTTCTAATATAGTGAGTGGGCAATGTGACCAAAATCATACTAACGTCTGTTTAAACAAATTGGGCTGAATGGTCTTTGCACTAAATATGTTTTGAATGAGGAATCTTCTTGGTTATTATTAAAATACTAAGTAAATGAATTCTAAACTCACTGTGATTCTTTAAGAATTGGCCACACACTAAATACACACCATACATAGACGGTTGCACTGCTGGTGTGGACCGAAGACGCTACACTCCATATAAACGATACGGCAGAGGTCAGGACTTAGCCGAGGAGAGCAGACAGCACTGGAGTTAGATGATAACTGTTCTGAGGTGAAAGCAAATATAACATTCAGAACATTTTGAAAAATATAAAAATGCTTAGGAAAACATTAAACACCTGCTTTTAAGAGGTTCTGGTAAAATCATAACTGCTAATACATTAGAAAATTCTTAGCTTAACAAGACAGTAGCTGACGCTAAGGGAACTTCACACTGGAGGTAGGGGTGTGCGATATATATCGTCTACGATAATATCGTAATTGTTGTTTTAATGATGTGCGCTTTAGTATAAGCATATTGCAAAACCCAAACAAAAACACCTACAGAGTGCACGCATGCATTACATGATGAAGTCTAGTTGGTTAAACTAGTGTGTGTTCAAGATATGGATTTATACATCTATACATTTCATATAGTTAATATCACACGAAGAATGCGGTTTTTTTTTCTTAAAAAATCACCATGATTACAAATGTGATATTGATTTTTATCAATATCAGCAGCAGTTCAACACCAGGAAGTTAAGAGACTTACGTTTTAGACACTATATTGCCTGTTTTTACCTGTTTCCTAAATTAATCACAGTTTATATGATTCGTTTCCTCACAGTGACTCACTTATTAACAGTGACTTGCTGCCACCTACTGGCGGTTTTAATTTCACATTTAAAGTATCTTTTCATGTTTTTAATAATTTCAAATATCAGTATTCAGCGTCTTATGTTTAAAATATCAAAACATTATTTCTGCATTTGTAACTGCAGGTTAAAGCATTCCATGTGCCTCTGAGCTGCATTAAACTGTGTGTAAATACAGTGGTGGCTCGTCGGGGAGGCACAGCTTCCCCAAAATGTTGAGGTGAAAATGGGAGGAGGACTATTTAATGTTAATAAAATTCACAATTCATTTTAGTTCATATCTCAGAATGTGTATTTTTTGTTTGTAATTTCACAGCTGTAATACCATAACGTGTTACTGAAGTTGGAAAGCGCCGCTTTTCTATCGCGAATGTGCCGAATCTGCTGATGTAATTACAACCGCTAATGATAGAGAAGGGGAGGGGGAGGCCGGGGGAGAGGTGAGCTCTCGTGCCTCCATTGGTAAAAAAAAAAATCAGCCAATCAGCATCGAGTGTTCACTTTCAGCGCTGAGGAGTGTTGAGAAAAGAAACCTCGTAGAGGAGGATAGCCTCCTTCTGATATCAACCAATCATCATAGAGACGTAAATTACGTGATATCAGTTTGAACGTCTCCCGCTGCACTGTTAATGTACCAAGTACTTATGATGAGTAGCGATATTGAATATTTGATCGCCAACAGATTTACCAAGCTGTCATTCAAACAGTATATATACAAATTAAAAATAAAGGGAAAACAGCCTAAGCTGGATATAGGCTACAGCAGTCGGCTTAATTAAACAGCACAACAGGCAGCTCTCTTTTAACACAGACTTTTAAGAAGGGATGGATGTTTGCTTCAAGTGATAGGCCAGGTAAGTGAAGTTATATTATCTTACTGTATGTGTGTCATTTTCTTTACGTGTTCTGACTAAAAGCAACCAAAATGCCATTTTAAAGTAGTCAAGCAAATAATAATAATAATCGACAGGGATCCCCAGACCAGTACAATTACTGTGCCTCTATTTTAAAACCCACGAGCCGCCACTGTGTAAATGTAACTGTAACAATGTGTTGATACTGATTTAATTTCCTTGGTAACAGCCTTTGACTGATTAAATGTAAGAATCTGACTCAAAAGATGATGCACGCAAAAAAAATGGCTTTATGAAGGTAAAAATGCCCATAAAAAAGGTAAAAAATTAATTTAAACTTATTAAAACAAATTAATTTCTGTCACTGCTGTGGACTGACCACCACATTATGAAGAATATCAAAATCTTTAGGAGTTAGCTGTACCAGCACAATAACTATAACTCAGCAAAATATTGTCTAATTATCGTTTTCGGTAAAATCCCAGAAAATATCGAGATATAATTTTTTGTCAACATCGCACACCCCTACCAGGAGTGACAATCTCTGAAGACCATAGAGCATCATGGTAATTCACTGGCAGCAGTGTTTAAGCTCTGCCCCTAAGGCGTGGGTCTTCACATGCAAATAACTGGAGCACAGAATCATTTTATTCAGATTTTCTACTGAACTGCAAAAATAAACATCCACTGGCAGCAAGAAAATACAGTAAAACTAAAATCCATCCAGCTTTGCACATATATCCTGGGAAGCCAAATTTGAAATATCCATGCTATAGAGCCTAGTAAACAGTAAGAGCTATTGCCCAGCCTGTAGCCAATCATGACCAATTAAGAATGAACTACTCATTCAGACATTTTCATCGTGGCAAATCTGCCTAACAACTGATCAGATCTGCATAATTCACGTGGTCAGTCCTGGGGGCGCCTACAAACAAAAAGGCTCAACTGGTAAGGAATGAGGCTAAAACCAGCAGCAGAACAGTCAGTCTTAAAAAAGATAAAACCTAATGACCTTGAATGGAAGGGCCTTAAGCACCTCCAGCACATGTAAAGGACGAGAAGGCACCAGCCTACACGCCCCCTTCATAGACATTAATCATAGCCTAAGAGAGACCTGTGCCCAAAGGCTTTTGGAGAAACTGCAGAACATTGTGCACCACGCAGTGAACAGAGTTCTCTCCACGTCAAGAAAACAATGTTGGAGAGAGGGGCAAAACTGTAGTGGCTTGCTAGTGGGAACCGTTCAGATGCCAGATGTGCAACCTTCACTCTGGACCACTACGACCAAACTAACTGGTGAAACAATCTCAAAGGAAATTAATACTTTCAAACTGGATGCTACCTGTGAGTCAGTGTATCTGTTCTCAAGGCAATGGGGCTGAAATACCTGGACAAGAGCAACCCCTTCCTTACAAAATGAAGTATTTTTTCACACCAAAAGCTATGCAGCAGCATCAAATCAGAGGCAAATGTGGCTGTGCCACATCACTTCAGAAGGAACTTTATATGAAGCAGTGCCAAAGGGATATTGAACATTGACGCTGACATTAGACACAGCATGCGTAGGGACAGGCACGTGGCAAATTCAGTCGCAGTCTGAACAGGCCCAAACACTGTCGAAAGGCACCAATCTGTGAACTCTGAACTTGTTCTATTCACTATATTCTGGCTAGGGAAACATCAAATAGCAGAACCCAGAACTGCTAAACCACTTTCCCGTAGCCAAGGTGCAAACTGGGAATGTAAGATCTACTGTAAAAAAAAACACTGGACAGACATGAGGTTGGATCTGTTTCTAAGTGACCATCATGAAGGAAAGCCTCTTCAGCATCTGATTCAAGCCCCTGGCTCAAGGATTAATTTAGGATTCATGCCGTTGTCTTTGTTTTTGACCTAAAAATACATCTGTATATATAAAAAAAAAGAGAGAAAACAAGAGGTCCCAACAAGAAAGCCTTTGTTCCAGATGTTCCACCGTTTCAGCACAATTGCTAAATAGTCATGGCTAGAGGTCTTGTCTATAGAGCTTGGAAGGCAGAACTGGCAACCACAGCTTCTTTGACCAGGAAAATCCCCAAGGAGCATCTGTTCCACCAGGTCCAGGATTTATAAAGAGAGCCATGGATCTTTTTCACATTTTCAGGTTTGTCAGCAGCAGAAGTCGTCATAGTTGGGTTAACTTGAAGAGCAGTGAATGGGAGAGTATCACAAATATATTTTTTGCATTCCCATTTGCTCAAATAGCAAAAGAAAAACTCCTCGATCGTGTTTTCATGACTTTCAATAAAAGGAAAAAAATTGAGAGAAACTGATAACGGCAGTCAGAAGAGAGAACGATGTCAAATTTACCATCCTTCCCATAGATGCTGCATTAGAAACACCCTCGCATTAGCGTTAACGTTTTTTGTAATTTGATGCAAAGGTAATATAATACAAAGAACAGTGTTATAAATGTACATATATTTAAAAAAAAATACAAATATGAAAGACTTTCGAGGATTTACGATGCTGATGACCGTTAAACGCGTCATCACAGTCTTGTGAAAAGGGTCCATTTAGGTCCTTCCATCCTTCCATTCTCCAAAATGCGTATTTTCTGTAGGGTTGCGGGGATGCTAGTGCCTTTCCCAGCATCTCAGGCCACACACAGGGGGGAGACACCCTAGATCAGGGGTCTCCAAACTCGGTCCTGGAGGGCCGGTGTCCTGCAGAGTTCAGCTACAACCCTAATAAACACACCTGAACCAGCTAATCAAGCCCTTACTAGGCATCATACACTTCCAGACAGGTGTGTTGAGGCGAGCTGGAGCTGAACTCTGCAGGACTGAGTTTGGAGACCCCTGCCCTAGATGGATGGTCATTCCATCACAGACTTGGGTCCTCTGCAAAATTAATTCTGTCCGGGTTTTAACTTCTTATGCGACTAGCAATGTAAATTCAACATAAACTACTCATCCAGTTCAGCGGGAAGGCTGGGAGTTAGGTGCTCTCTTCTGAAAATTCAAGTGGCAAATGCAAAACAAAAGGGGGAAAATAATCCTGTTTGTGCTGCTGAACTGTGTTTGAGATTGACCAGGTAACACTAAATCTGGTTCTGAGATTAAATCAATATCACTTCAGAGATCATCCTTGCCAGATTCCCCATTGTGTCAGCTACTGACAACATTTTAAAGTGACTTCAATGCAAGTCAACCCTGAAAAGGCTCTTTGAAGATCTGTGCTGTGTTTTAGGACTCTAATAAAGCTATGTGCTACAAAGGTACTGTGGGTTCCTCTCTTACCACATGAGAATTACACAGGTGCATTTTCTGTACAGAATGGTTTGAGATGGAAAAATGAACAAAAAATGCACGGCTTACCACATTTACCACTAGCCAGATCCACATAAAACAGAGACGACCTGCAGAAATGACATTGCTGTTAGCATGCAGGCAAACAGTCCACTCTCAAAACATTGACTGTGCATTTAAACAACTGAAAAATCAGATTTGGTTTGAAGTTGGTCTTATCTTCATCAGACAGATATTTCCCATCACTCACCTTCTGTTGGCGCAGTATTTGAGCCCCAATCTGAATGGCTCGTGCCACCAACCCGCAAACACAAGCCCTGTGTCATTGGGAGCCCAGAATGCCTGTGGACAAGAGTTGTGGTTTACATTATTCATCTTACATTGATATTTTATAAGAACAATAACTTTGAGCTTACAATAAAGAGTCTGTTTTTATTTAAATGGGTTTTATCAGTTTGACAAATACATGCACATTTTATCTGCATACAAAAAAAAAGAAGAAAATTGACATGAAAATAGTGCAAAACATCTATTTTTCCAGTTTTTATTCAAATTTACATAGTTTTTTCATTAAAGGAAGTTGTGATGTAGTCTGAAGGTATGTTTCGGGTCATTCTCTTGCCAAACCCCGTAGTAGTCTTTTGGTTCAACTCTGAATTCAGTAAAAGAGTCCCAGATCATCACGCCTCTTTCTCTATGTTTGACAGCTGGTGTCACGTAACGGAAAAACCATCCTTTTGCCTACTCGACACAATATAGAAACTGCACATGAAATTATTCATTTCTATTTTTATTATCAAACCTGCAGCTCATTTTCTCATTCCCCTTGATTTTCTTTGCAAATTCTCTAAAAGGAAAGGAATATTTTTATATGTATGTGTATATATACATTTATTTCTTCTCTGACTTCACTTATCAAGCAGAGTCATCACAAACTTAGTTCACTCCAAAATGAATTAATCGTAACGATGTTGAAGGTTAGTGGACAGGCTGTCAGTTAATAAAGTGATTAGTTGTTTCCTCACAAAAGTCAGTGTAACTAAAGCCTCTCCATCAATGACATCCATTAAAAAAAATCCAACCCACTGTCATTACCAAGGCGTCTAATAAGGATGATGAAAATCCTTACACCCCAGCATATTGACAGAACATGTCTCTCATTTACAGCAATGGGTTTACCGACAGTATCAAAATTAAAACAAAAAAAGGGTGCTTGTGGTGTTTCTATAGTGATGTGCAGAAGTCTGGGACATGCACATATTGTGGGTCTATACTAGTGCTGCTATAAATGAGATTTATTAATAAATGAAACTCAGAGAGGGATTAACCACGCGGACTGTTAGTAAACTCAAGTACTGCACTGTTAAATGTTCTATAAAGTAAATAAGTGGGCCTCCTATCCTGCTATCTTCCATTTGTTGTGAACATGACCCTATTAAGCCCAGAAAGCAGCAGGTGGTGGATAAAAGATTACTTAACCCTTGTATGGTGCTCGGGTCTGTGGGACCCGTTTTCACTTTTTATCAAAAGAAAAATTATACTATTAATTATTTTTTCAAACGCATACATGAGTGCTGTTGTTTCAGTGTGTTTTTTTTTTTTTTTTTTGCCCTTTCAGCCTTAATATCGAGATGTCAAAGCTTATTACAGGTGAAACCATTATAAAAGGTCAAAATAACCACAATATCATTTTCAGTAAAACTGTGGCACCTTACTTTGAACCCATGTCTAAAACACAAACAGAGAGTATACCTGTCCTGGGGAGATGTTAGCGGGGATTCCTTCCAGAACAGTGATGTTACTGCCTTCGATGTCCAGCACACAGAGCACTGGGCTGCTTTTATTCACAAGTGCTTCGCCCCAGTCTTCATAATACTCAAACTGCTGACCCTGCCACAGACACATACACAGTCATTCCCAACACAATCAAACTGAAGCTGTTAGAGAAGATGGCACATATGATGGCAAAATTGTACCAGGACTGTTTCCTCTTTCTTGTCTGTCTTGATGGTCTCCTCTTCATCAGCGAGCAAACCCGTCTCAGGCCCCTGCAGTTTAAGGGAACATGAGGTCAGATGAAGAATGTGCTCATAGAATGAATCATTAGAAAGCATGTGCGTGTTCTGTAATCATCTGTGTTTGTGACCTGGAAGTACGACTCTGTCTTGGGTCGTTTCTTCTCAGCTACATATAGGAGATGAGTCTCTGAATGAGACCAGACCATACAGCCAAACTGATCTGAGAACAGAGAACACACAAGCCCTGATTATCAAGATTATCAGACTGCACAGCAGCAGAATAAGACTGTCAGTCCAGTATTTCAGTGAATAATACGGTTACATTACACACAAGAGCATGATTTTAGTACACAAGTTATACAAAAGAAACAGTTTAAGTTTCTTGACCTGAAGGTGGCACTGTAAGCACATTCAGCAAGATTATGGAGCCAAACATTGTCTACCAATTTAATTTAAACAGACTTAAGCATGGTCCAGATGATACAGCCTCAAAAATCTCTTCAGTCATTTTTAAAGTGGCTCAGTTCAGCAATGTATTGTGCCCATGATAAAGACACAAATAAGAACCTAAAAAAAGTATTACAGACTACAAACTTGGTCATGATCACCCAATATGCAGAAAAAAATTCACAATTTTCCTACGAATGGTTCTATGGGCTGCCATAGACTTATACAGTATAAAATGGCCTTTATGGTACCTGCCATCAATTAACAAAAGCAAAGAAGCTAAGGGCAACTGGCTATTTAAAAATGCATGTTTTGTTTCTCATTGTTCACACTGTATCACTCTCCATATGCCGTTATCAGTAATCGTAATCGTGTGTTAATATATGTCGGGTGGTCTGATGGGTGAATGAACACATGCAGGGCTCCACATGAATGAATTCAGAATAGTGCAAGAGAAAACCTGTCAAATTCATGAAAATGTTCAAAATGGCCTGAGCTGTAGTGATGTTACGTTTAAGGCTTGCGTTAGAAAAACAAACAACAAAAAAACTACAAAACACAGAACCAGATGTGAAGTAAGTGGCTGTAGTGGGACAAAGCCATGTGGTACAGTAGGTGCTATTGATTCTTTTGACCACCATATGGCCACAGCGCAGACAGGGCTGTAAAAGCTTTGCGCAATGAACCCTTTTGTGATACAGTTGAGAGGAAAGCCTTCTGTGCTTCACAAAGCTTCATTTCTGAATCTCCGCTGTGCTGCACTGTTGAGATTGCATCACTATTTGCTGCACTTGTGCTGTACAATGTGACCATTTAGTCAGTCTGGAGCCCTGATGTGCTGTTTTTGGTAACAGGGTGTGAATGTTTTCCTCTTACCATCTTCATACACTTTGCCGTGTTTGCTGAGAGTCGTCAGATTAAGACACTTCAGCTTCCTGTTCTTATGCCAGATCTAGATAGACAGAGAGAGAGAACAAACCACTAAAAGACAAATCATCCTGTAGAGCAGTGCTTCTCAAACCTGTCCTGGAGAACCCCACCACTGCACATTTTGGATGTCTTCCTCATCTAACACACCTGATTCAACTCACCAGCTCATTAGAGATTGAAATGAGCTTGGAGTAATGGGCGTGCCGAAAGGTTTCTCATTGGTGAAAGGAGTTTCTTCCTGGGAACGGTGTTGGCCAATCAGCGGTAAACATACATTCACGTAATTTACGTAAGATGGTGGCGGCAATAAGCTGCACGATTTGACACCTCATTCATGTGTCTAGGACAAAACAGTGCGGGACGAGTTACCCGCCGAAGTTTGTATGGAAGAATAATAATAATAATATATAAATAAATAAATAATAAGCCCACAGAATAGTAATAGACTAAAACTAAGTTTAGATAGTAGAACAGGCTTGAGAAAGAAAACATATGCCAGTGGAAATGATGATGATAATGATAAATTATGAAAAAAAAATAAAAAAAAAAAAATCATATAGGGCTGCAACAACTAACTCAGAGTAATTGAAAAAAATGAAGCAATCAAATCAATAGTTTTTTTTTTTTTTCGGAAAGTGACCTTAAATTGTCACTTTGTTCAGATGTACAAATGTTGTTGTTTTTTTACACAGTATTGCCACTATGCATGCATTTTTCTTTTCTTTAATTTTCTTTATTTTGACTTTTAATGCGCATCTAAATATGTTGGGCTCAATGTGTAATTTGTAATTGTAATTTCATAGATATAAATAATATTACTAACTGTCATTTACAATGTTATAAAGATATGTGTGTTTTTCTTTTTAAGCCATGGACCCAACAGGAGGCCTTGCTGATGTATGATTAAATATTATGAAGTATTTCATTCAACTATTTTTTCGTTTTTTTCATATTTTAAACAGTTGTGTGTGTGTGTGTGTGTGTGTGTGTGTGTGTGAAGACAGATTCTTCTAGATGTTGTGTATGAAAAAGGAGATGGAGCCTTTCTCACTCTGTCACTAGTGTGCAGAGAGTTTAATGACATTGTCAACCGTCAAGCTTGATTCAGGTTCGGTTTGAGTTGGACAGTGGCCCACCAGGAGCAGGTTTGGACACCCCTGATGTAGAGTCTCATTTAGACGAGGAGCACTTGTGTTAATCTGAGTTCCAACTAGGGCTGTGCGATTAATCGAAATCGCGATTTGAGCGTGCACGATTTCTAAACAAGGAAAAGTGCACTTTTAGATAAACAAGCGACACCTGCACCACTCACCGGTCTCGAGTCCCACGGAGGAGCTCCGGAAGGATAAAAGGAGGAGTGACGACAGTGAAAGACGAGAGAGGACCAGGCCTGGATTTTATTTGGTGTTTTATGTGCGGCAGTCGTCCGCGAGGGGCTGCCGCTTTACTTTCATTTTGTATTTTGTTTATTTTATTAAAGTCTTGAACGTTTCCCGGTTCCCGCCTCCTTCTTCCCGTGACTACGAACTTTGTTACATTGTGTTTGTGGTAAACAGCCGCGGATCAGGAGAGGACTGCAAACGCGGCCTGTGCGAAAGCAAAATGAGTCCGTGCTGCTTCTGCACCGCATACACATACTGTATACGCACTGCGGATGGAGTACGTGTGAACAAATCTAGTTCGACATCTGAGGCAATGCCACAAAGAGCTCTATGACCAATGCATGGCAAAAAAAAAATCCATGGACACAGGATTTTTATTTTCCTGTCATATGTCTATTCTAGAGACATTTTGTTACACCTTTACTTAGTGATTATTTTGCCTTATGTCTGTTCTAGACATGTTACAGCTTCTTGATAAAGCTCTAATTGGTTTTCTTTTGGAAATATGTTTCAAATTCACACTGAATGCATCAATGTCTGTAAAGCATGTCTGTGTGTCAAAATCGTGATTAAAATAGAAATCGCAAAATTGATCAAAGAAATGGCGATAGGTTTTTTTTTCCCATATCGCACAGCCCTAGTTCCAACACAGATCATTTAAC